AAGAAAAAATATGCTCTCACACTGGTACAGACCAATTTCTTCCTTTTTACTTGCCTTTTCCATCAGCATTCAGATATGCTGTGGTGTCCATCCTAAAACATCTCCATCTCTTCTTTCCTCCCTTCCTCCCTCCTTCACTCTGCTTTCCCCTCCCCTCCCTTTCTCTCTCTATGGCTCTCTTGTTCTCTCAAGCTCTCCGTCTATCTTTCCCTCCCTCCTCCCAAATTTCCTGCATTTCCATTGCTCCCAAGCCACCATCATCTCTCCCCTGGGCTTCTGTACTATTCGCCTACTATCTCTGAGAGCAAATTTGAGCCCCCCCAAAGTCCATTTCCCACAGAGCAGCCAAAGTGATATACTCAACACGAAATCAGATCATGCCTCCAAACCTCCCATCCTTGCAACTTTTCAATGGCTTCCCTGTGCCTTTGGACTAAAATTCAAACTTCTGAACAAGGTCTCTAAAGATCTCCAGGGTCTGGACCCAGCTTTCCTTTTTGACATTGTCTCCAACTAACTCCTCCTTGTTTAGTCCATTCTCAAGGACCTGCTTTCTGCAACTTAAACTCAATCATTTCAGCCTTTCCCATTTGGGGTTCTTTGTCGGCAAACTTTTCTTCCCCTATCTTTGCATGCCAACACCTTCACATCACAATATAGGTACAATTATTATTTACAAGCTATGGATTGAATTTGCCTGCTCTGATAATAATAGGAAACCTTTATACAGCACTTGATATTCTGGATCAGAATTGATTTTAAGAACTGTATATTTATTCTGATATATTAATGTTAAACTATACTTATTATTCATTTATCATTTAATTCTAATAAGCTTTAAGACAAAAAACTATTGCTACCCCATTTTACAGGTGAGGAAACTGAACAGAGAAAGATTAAGAAATTAAGTAATGTGCCTAAGGTCTCGGCATAATTGGGAAACCAGGATTTCAATGCAAGCCCTCTGGTTTCAGGGTCTTTGTTCTTAACAGAGCTTTTCATTGATACCTTTGTATTCTTTGAGATGCTTCTCTGATAACAATACACAATAGATGTGTGTTTTTGGCAGTCTTATTTAACAAAACCTACACAAATACATGTAAGATTTAAATTTATTTTATCAAATTTTATTCTCCTCTTTTAAAACTGCTTTTAAAATACTTCAAAAGGGACGTTTTAAAAACTGAAACAAAAGAAAAATATGAAAAAATATGAAACTCATGTGTGTGGAATCAATTATTATGTAAGAACAATAGGAATATACATCTATATCCTTTCTGTTATGACCTATTTACCTGAAACACTCTATGCAGAGTATTTCCTATATGAAGATTTCGATTGAATAATTACATATGCTAATTAACACAGCAAAAGAAGTTTCTTGGTAAACACTACTAGTAGTTGTTTAACTTGACTCTCAAATTTCTTTTAAAGTTTTCAGTATTCTACTTCATTTATTTCAACTTTTCAAAGAAGAATAGTTTTATTAAGATAAGTATGTCAGGCTTCCCTGGTGGCGCAGTGGTTGGGAGTCCGCCTGCCGATGCAGGGGACGCGGGTTTGTGCCCTGGTCTGGGAGGATCCCACGTGCCGCGGAGCGGCTGGGCCCGTGAGCCATGGCCGCTGAGCCTGCGCGTCCGGAGCCTGTGCTCCGCAACGGGAGAGGCCACAACAGTGAGACGCCCGCGTA